GAACTTGCCTTCCACAGCAATTATTTTTAGTTAGCATATAGCTAAAATCTAACCATGGTTATATAATAACAGCTGCATTCTGACGTGATAAGTTGTCTGTTTTATATTCAATTAACGTATGATCTGATTAGTCGACTAATCGAATAAATAATCGGTGATTAATCGATTATTAAAATAATCGTTTGTGGCAGCCCTACTAAGGTGCAGGAATACTTACCCCCCTTTTTTTCACATCATGTTGCCTGCCTGGATCTGTTATTATCTCGCTATGAAGAACAGAGGAGTGTCAGAGGTAAGCTCGTTTCAACTGCTTTTTACGACGCGGTCTCAGTCATTTCCGGACTCAAGCATTTTGTGAATGAAGCCGATATTTCAGTTAAAATACATAAGTAAAAATATTTATCCGAGTATRGTACTATCCCCCAACTTTATGGATGATTTTATGGATTTAATTTTACGTATTATACTTAAATAAAGACGGTATGTGAATTAGGCAATACTGCTGCCTATTAAACAACTCCTAATCAAGTCATCTGCTTCTAAAATGAACATTTATTAAAACTAATTTAACCTTCTTTAAAAACTGTATATAGAAAAGCAAAATCTTAAAATAGGATTAGGGATTTTTTTTTGTGGTTTAAGCATCTTTTAAAAAATAAAAAAAATCAAGTGACACTTAATATTTCTAAATAGTGTCGTCATCCCCACATTTTTAATGGCACCGATACAGCTCTTTATCTTCTAAAAACTTCAGTAATTTAAAGACATCTTATTTTTAATAGGGCACACCCAGTCTAGAGAGTTAATTATTGGTGAGAAATCTTTGAAGAGTTTTAATGGTGCTATTAATAGTGCGCTGACCCAAACCCACATACTGGATGCAGTTGCTGCCTCGGGTCTCTGTTACAAATAAAGTCAGTAAAGTTTAATAAACTGTCCTGGAAAAGTCATTTKTGAGCACAATAAAAACATTTGTATTGTGCTGGCATGTAACACGAGTCCTCGTTAAACCCTTTAAAGTACCCTCAGTTTGAATCTAATTTGAAACTGCATGAAGCGTGAAAGGGGAATAAACCCTCAAACTGGTTTTAAAGATTTTTGCAGGAAAACTGATGAAAGTTGAATAGGAACATTTTTATTAAATCTAAAAGTTTCTGAGGATTTAACAGAGTAAAACTCTGCACACACTGCAGTTTTTATGGTCTTCCTTTCAAATAGTAAAACAAATAATCTTCAGTGCAGCTGCTGACCTGAGACTAGTATGAGCCAGTGGATGTCTTCATACAGGTCATCGAGGACTTTGCGGTCCACTGATCCCAGGTCTGATGAGGCCATAAGGTGCTGCTGGGTTCTCTGGAGCTGGCCGTGCAGTCTGTTGACCCGGTCCTCCAGCAGGCTGCGCAGTGATGCCGAAAGAGAAATACAGTTAGGTCCATATACAGTATATTTGGACACTGACACAAATTTTGTCTTTTTACCTGTTTACTGAAACATATTCAAGTTATAGTTATATAATGTACATGGACATAAAGTCCAGACATTCAGCTTTCATTTGAGGGTATCCACATTAAAACTGGATGAAGGGTTTAGGAGTTTCAGCTCCTTAAAATGTGCCACCCTGTTTTTAAAGGATAATTTTAAAGGTAATTGGACAAATGACTCCAAGGCTATTTCATGGACAGGTGTGGACAATCCCTTCGTTATGACATTCTCAATGAAGCAGATAGAAGGCCTGGACTTGATTTGAGGTGTGCTGCTTGCATTGGGAAGGTTTTGCTGTGAAGTAAACATGCGGTCAAAGGAGCTCTCCATGCAGGTGAAACAAGCCATCCTTAAGCTGCAAAAACAGAAAAAATCCATCTGAGAAATTGCTAAAATGCTAGGAGTGGCAAAATCTACAGTTTGGTCTATCCTGAGAAAGAAAGAAAGCACTGGTGAACTCATCAATGCAAAAAGACCTGGGCGCCCACAGAAGACAACAGTGGTGGATGATGGCAGAATAATCTCCATGGTGAAGAGCATCCCCTTCACAACAACCAACCAAGTGAACAACACTCTCCAGGAGGTAGAAGTATCAATATCCAAATCTACCATAAAGACAAGACTGCATGAAAGTAAATACAGAGGGTTCACTGCACGCTGCAAGACACTCATACGACTCAAGAATAAAAAGGCTAGACTGGACTTTACTAAAAAACATATAAAAAAGCAGCAGAGTTCTGGAAGAACATTCTTTGGACAGATGAAACCAAGATCAACCTCTACCAGAATGATGGAAAGAGAAAAGTCTGGTGAAGTCGTGGTACAGCTCATGATCCAAAACATATAACTCATCTGTAAAACACAGCAGAGCAGTGTGATGACTTGGGCGTGCATGGCTGCCAGTGGCACTGGGTCACTAGAGTTTATTGATGATGTGACACAGGACAGAAGCAGCCSAATGAATTCTGAGGTATTCAGAGCCAGACTGTGTGCTCAGATCAGCCAAATGCAGCCAAACTGATTGGTGGTCGTTGTTTCATACTACAGATGGACAATGATCCAAAACATAAAGCCAAAGTACCCCAGGAGTTTATTAAAGCAAAGAAGTTGAATATTCTTGAATGGCCAAGTCAGTCACCTGATCTCAACCCAATTGATCATTTCACTTGTTAAAGACTAAACTTCAGACAGAAAGGCCCACAAACAAACAGCAACTGAAAACCTCTGCAGTGAGGACCTGACAGAGCATTGAAAAGGAGGAAACACAGCGTCTGGTGATGTTCATGAGTTCAAGACTTCAGGCAGTCATTGCCAACAAAGGGTTTTCAACCAAGTACTAGAAATGAACATTTTATTTACAATTATTTAATTTGTCCAACTACTTTTGGGCCTCAGAAATGAAGGGATTGTGTTTAAAAGACGCTTTAGTTCCTCACATTTTTAAGCAATCATTTTGTTCAACCCACTGAATTAAAGCTGAAAGTCTGAACTTCAACTGCATCTGAATTGTTTTGTTTAAAATTCATTGTGGTAATGTCTAGAACCAAAATTAGAAAAATGTTGTCTCTGTCCTTGTCTCTGTCCAAATATATATGGACCTAACTGTAACATCTTAGGAAATAAAACCAACTCATTCTGAATTCAAAAGCAGAGCTAAAATTTAAACACGACGAATCTGTTTGATGTCAGTTTGTGGTATTTTTGCAGCGGTGTAGCCGTATGTTTTTAAGGCTTAAATACTCAATATAAGGTTATATAAGGTTTGTGTGAAATAAATAACACAGATGCTTTAGATGAGCTAACCTTGTGAGCAGGGGGATGCAGTGATCAGCAGCCACACGTCCCAGCGTGCCAATACTTGACAGCTGGTCTGAGAACAGTTCTCTGTCATCCTCCTGAAGCTCATTGATCTCCTCTTCCTCATGAGATGAAATGCCGTTTACCGACTGAGGGATCAGCCAGAGTGGTTCATGGTTTTATAGAATAGAAAGAAAAGATGAAAAAGAATTGATGACCAAGTCCATATTAATGAAAAAAATATAAAATAAAACTGTACGAAGAAAGCCTCACCAGATTCCTAGTACCATCAGGAGCAGCCAGGTGACACTGGATGTACGAGTTGAAGACCTGAATTGCTGGCTGAATGAAGCAGCCGCGGGGAAAGTGTTCTTCGTCTTGAACGAGAGTAAGCCACGACTCCAGCAGCTTGTCGTAGGCCTCCATGTAAACCATGTCGTCTTTATCCAACTAAAGAAAGAGGCAAAAACAAAGCACATGGCTTGTGGATTACCTGTATTTAAAACATTCAGTAGTATGTTAGTCAGAAAAAAACAAACTAAAATGCTCACAAAAACAAACCCACAAAGTTCTGACCGATCACAGAAAAAAGTTCTGACAGAAGTGCACAGAACAGGTTCTTGAGGGCAGTGTGAGAACTAAAACATCCAGTTTTCATCACACAAACACATCAACWCCAAATACAGGGTTCCTATAGTTTAAAGCAAGTTAAATTTAAGACTTTTTAAGACTTTTTAATGCCAAGTGAAATTAATTTTAAGACTAATTTCATAATAAACACAAATGACAAAAAATAAAAACTGGCAGAAACTCATGAATCAAAGTATTTTTGGTTTAAGTATTCAAATATTGCTAAGAGACCTGAAGAAATTTATAGTTATTAGAGGTGATAATGTTTAGTCTATTATGTTTTGATTGAAATAGGTTCAGTTACATGTCCGAATAATATAACAACACATAATCAACTGTTACGAAAACAGTAGGTGAGAATTTTGTCTGAATGCCTGTGATTCAGCTGTAGGTCAGTAGGGGGTGAACGCAGGCATTGAAGACCGTGTATAAACTGATCAACTTCCTGGTTTGTCGGGAGTGTGGTTTCCTTGTCAGCCCGGTGGCAATAAAACCTCACTCGGTTCCAGAATTCTGGTGTTGTATGGTTTTCATTCCTTCTACAAATCATTGTAWTTAACAGTGGTGGTTTTCATATTGACTTCAGTCTTTTGAACACGTATTTTCTTACAGACCARTTGCYTTTATCCATATCTAACTATAGCAGAAACGTTYTTAGCAGYCAGTTTTAAACTTAATTTAATTTCAGGAAATCCTCTAACGATGCAAAATTTGGAGTTTTAGGATCCACAGTGGGGTTTTAAACCCTACTTGCTGTAGATGAAACTAGGGATGCACGATATATCGGTATTGATATYGGTATCGGYCGATATTAGTCATTTTTTAGAATATCAGTATYGGTCCGATACGTAAAACGAGGCCGATATTAATGTCTGATATTGATTTCCCACTTTTTATCTTTGCGTTTCTGTTTTGGGAGGTGAGATGGTTGGTTGAGCAGCATCTGTTTGATCGTGATAGTGATATTGATGCTGCGCAGCCAGGAATAACTGAAGTAAGGAGCCATGTCAGAGGTCTGGTTGTTTATTTACAGTTTCAAAAAAAGACCCAAGTGTGTTTGTGTATAATATAATTTGTTTGTTTGTATAATATCGGTAAATATCGCTTATCTGCCATAACAGCAATAATTATATCAGATATCAATWTCGGCTGAAATTTTCATATCGGTGCATCCCTAGATGAAACCTTTAAGTGCCGGTGACATCACTTTTTTTTGTAAGAAAAGTGAATGCATTTTTGTAAAGACAACATTAACGTATTACAAAAAAAAATTCACATTGCTCAGATGAACAATTGAGATATTTGCATGTGAAGTAACAGGAAGTGATGTCAAAGTGTGAATATTAAAAATAATAATTTTTACCAATTATTTTAATATTTGAGATGAATTAAAGACATCCTATTTACATCGTGTAAACATTTTTAAGACTTCTGAAAGATTGATTTAAGACATTTTAAGGCTAATTAAGGCCTTATTTTTGGATTGATGAACTCAATGACTTTTAACACTTTTTAAGGATCTGCAGGAACCCTGCAAATAAGTTCTAAATTCTGGTGGCTGAAGCCAAAGTTTAAGTGTATTTATTAAACATGTAGAAAACTGCAAATAAAAGCTGTAAAGTGTGAAGGAAGCAAAAAGATGCTACTCTAACATCAATATTCATAAAGTGGTCTAAGTTAAGTCAACCACATGAAAGACACTTGAAACTGGTTCACTTCTTATTTATCTGAAAGGATTTTTACTGTTTTTCTGAATCATGTTTGCTCGGATGTTGCACCACTCTCTTGTGGGGTACCCCAAGGTTCAGTTTTGGGCCCAGTCCTCTGTTTATTGTACTTATACACTTTAGGTGATATGTTAAAACATCACAGTAATGTGTCATATCATCTGTATGCTGATGACATACAGTTGTACTATTCCATTAGAGCCTCAGCATCCTACAAACTGTCTGAACTTGGTAACTGTCAGAAATCAAAATATGGCTGAACAACWACTACTTGCAGTTAATGCAAACAAGACTGAGACTCTTATTATTGCCCCTGATGTTAAAATCCCTGTAATCAGGCAGCACCTTGTTTTTTAACCCCTTCAATGTAAAATAGTCTCAGAAATCTGGGTGTTGTGCAGTGACAGTTCCTTGTCTTTTGAGACCCACAGTAAAGGTGAGAGATTTTGTCACATAAGGAACTAGAGATGATTGTTCACACTCTTGTTTAGGTTACTGTAACCATCTTTATATGTGTCTAAACAAATCCTCCTTGGCTGGGCTTCAGTCCKTGCARAACGCTGCAGCGAGGTTATTAACAAAGACCCACAGAAGAGTCCACATTACTCCTGTTTTAGCCTCTCTGCACTGGCTCCCTGTGACTTTGAGGAGTCATTTTAAAATTTTGGTTTTAACTTTCAGAGCACTTCATGGTCAGGCCCCCAAATACATTTTACCCCCAGTTTACACCACATGCGTTCAGTCTCCGCTCCGGTCCGACCTCTGCAGCAAATACACAACCATTATAATCAATGAGAGTGTTTACACTGGCTGTGCAGGGCAGCGGTGAGCAGACGGCGATCCGTCAAAATTAGAACAGAKCCTATTTTTGCCGGACGACGGAGCTGCTCTGGAGTCAATTTTTGTCGCACCAACAGGAAAAGAAATGAGCACAACATCCGTATTTTCAAAATAAGACACTTTTAGGCTGGATAATTTGTCGGAATAATGTCGAAATTGCAGCTATGTTAATAAATATACGGATATATTTCTACACAAATGCTGTCAGAATGTATCGTTCTGTTTGGGAAGCAGATAGAAACATGTAGCATGAAGCATATGTGTACACACACGATCCATGTGGATTTTATTTTGAAATCAGAGGTTTCAGAAAGACGACAGCGAGATAGTTTCAACATAGATACCAAAAGCCTTTATATCATTGTTTTCAGCTGTGTTTGGAGTTCGTCTTTCACAGAATTAATTATTTTTTGCTSTGACTTCCACATTTATCACTGAATTTATCGCGTTCTCTCCATCCTGCACACTTGTCGGAGCGGCGCGGACGCTGTATAAATTGAGACACAAACGAACAGCTGCAACCTGCGCACTGCAGCGCAGACGTATGTAGTATAAATCCGGGGTTAGAACTTCTGAAGCCTCTCTGTCCATCCAGGACTTTAAGGTCTGCTAATCAAATGCTGCTGGTGGTTCCTAGAACCCACTATAAAACCTGTGGAGACAAAGCTTTTCAGCTTATTTCATTACAGCTACAACTTCACAATAAACATGAATAAAACTAGTTAAAATCACTGAGAACTGGACTTTGAGTTGAACAAAGTGATTTCAGTGACAGGGGTTGGTTTGTTTCTGACAGCTGGACAGAGACGTCAGCACTCACCACCTCCTCCAGGGCGGCGCTGCGTCCAAACGAGCAGGTGAGCAGCGTGAGGCAGTTGATGAAGGAGGTAAAGAGCTCGCTGGGCAGAGCTGTTAAAATGCTCCGAGGAAACATGGTGATCAGATTTGAGATGATGTTGGAGATGCCCACAGCCTCAGAGTCTTCAATCTCAATCCTAAAATAAAAGAAGACATAGAAAGTTGCTTTATTCAAGATAAGATAAGATAAGATAAGATAAGATAAGATAAGATAAGATAAGATAAGATAAGATAAGATAAGATAAAACTTTATTGATCCCAAATTTTTTAAAACCTCAGAAATAAACTGTATCAGATGTAAATTGGTAGGAAATCCTGAGAATCCTTTCTGGTAAGTATCAGTGTCTTTTCTTGTCAAACAGAGGCAACAAAAGTTCAAAAAGCCTCAGTTCTATTTTCAATGCGAGCCATATTCTGGCCTAAAGAAAGAGTTTCCACCCTTCAGGCTGAGGCTGAACCGAGGTCACTTTCCAGTTTACCCACTAGTGACAAAAAGTTGGAAATTTGCTTGAAAAATCGATCGTTACCCAAAACTCATTGGCTGCCTGACCCCTGAGCAGTTTTCCACAGCTGCATCTGAGGTTGTTTTTATGGTGTTTCTGTCTCGTAGTGAAAAATAAAAAGTTCAACAAAGCTCGACTGAAAGGCTGTAATTCATTCAGTTCTCAGTTTGGAAGAAACATTTGATCATCGAGAAGCATCAAGTGACAAACGTGAAAACTTGGCCAACTTTAAATCAGACATTTTTAATTAGATATATTTAACTTTAGCAAAGTGTTTTAATTTTCAGTTCAGAAAGATAAGGCCATAACAAATAGATTTAATTACATTTATCACTTCTTAATTCACCTGTTTTTAATACGTTGATTTAAAGCTTAAAATCAAAACCAACCTTTTATAAGAAATGTCCTTCTCAACTTTTCTGCAAGTGAAACAGCTCTAAATTGGTTTTATTTGGAGAAAAAAAAAGACACAAATGGCCTTTTTCAATCGAAAACCCCAGATCTTAAAAATGTTTTTCTTTCACATACATAATTATTAGTATTAAATGTATACTTYGTACAGTTAATGTGTTATTTTTGCTTTCTTTTTATTTTTGCTTCCTATTTCTGATAATGACTGTACGGCACCTTGTGAAATCCTTTTTTGTGAAAGGCACTATATAAATAATCTTTTACTTACTTTACTTTCTTACTTATAATCAGTTTCTTAAACAAATTTATCGCAAAAAATACCGTCATCACAATATCAGTGTGTGCAATATTCATATCACAAAGGACTTGGAGTGCAATAATAGTTTACTAATGCATGTATCAGAGGGAGGATGAAGACAAAGTCTTATTAGTCTGATATCACCTCATATTATTATTTTTCAATTACTTTTACACATTTCTCAGTTCCATTTACAAACAGTAAATCAGTTTGAACAAGCATAAATATATGAAAATCAAATAAAAAACATTAGGTTTGTGAAAATATTTGAAACACATATTTTATAAATTAACCAGTTTTTTCAAATCCTGCCCCAGTAAACCTGGATGTCACAGATTGATGATGTGTGAAAGTTTAATTCAAGTCTCTTTTTGTATTTAGTATTTTTGTTGGTAAATCATTCTACATAAACAAAAGGACAACTTGGCTGCATCTTTTTGTTTCAATGACAAATTTTAGCTTAACACTCAGAATTATTTAATTTTATAACTTATTAATTACATTTAATACTTTAATGAATCTAATAACCCACACACCTGTGCCCATATCAAGTCCTGATGTTGGAAAAAAATCAGACCTTAAAATCGCACGTGAAAAACTAATTATATCTGTTAGAAGGTAAAAATGAAAGCAGAAAAAATAGGAAAAGATTACTTTTACTAGACACATGTCAGGAAACATTGAAGTAGTAAGTGAAACATCATACTGTTAATTTTAGAGGCTGGTGAGTATTTCTCTTGAAAACTGTTACAAAAAAACCCCACATGACTGACTTTGTATTTAATTTATTAGAACCTATATTAAACATTTAACTACTTCAGCTTGTAAATGGACATCATAATTAAAATATACAACACAGAAACTAGTGTCTAAAACAAAATTAGAAGCCGAACAAACTGACAAAGATACACAGAGACAGAAGCCAAATGACTTTAAACACTTTCTCAGTGTTTAACGCATTAGCTCACAGGCAGATATTACCTTATTAGTAGGGGTGCAACGATACAGAAAATTCACAATTCGGTTCGGTTTGATACTTTAGTCTCACRGTTCGATATTTTTTCGATACAAAAAAAGAGAAATGTCCATGCCCCTTTTAACTTGTAATTTATTTAAATTAATTATGAACATTTGTTTAACCTCAAAAGTACAGTTTTTAAATTAAATGTTGCTGAAACAGCAAGTTTCTCAGTGGATCTGCGCTCAAAAATRCAGCCTAGGTGGAGTAGTCGAACACAGATCCACTGATCCTTCAACACAGAGCCTCTTCAGAAGACAAGYTGATAAAGTAAATTTGAAAAATCTGTATTGTTCGATACAAGTGTGTGTTGAACCTAAAGCACTGTATTGAACGGTTCGATATGGGTACATGTATTGTTGCACCCCTACTTATGTAAGTGTAAGCTCAGTGTTAACTGATGCCATTAACTTGATGAGCTAATCATCCTGTTTGTGTTACAGTTTGATGGCATCCCTTGTAAAAAGCCCAGCATTACAGATCAAGCTRACTTTAGATAAACAGCTACATTCACCCTGAGAAATCCTCCATAAAGAACCCATCAGTCCCCGCAGAGTTTGAACTGACGTTCTGCCTCAGCGACAGAGGAACGCTGTGCGAGACACCCAACTAAACCCTATCAGATGGAGCTAAACCGTGTGCAGAAGTGTTCAATCTCTGCAGATCGGCCGTCCCTCTCTGCGTGGTTTTCCGATGAGGCAACTGGAAAAAAGCTCCAAGAATAAGCGATTACAGACGTAGCAGGAGAGCGGGAAAAAGGACGAAAAAAAAGGACCTAAGTGAAAAAGAGCTCCACTCTGTGTGTGCCTGTTATTTATAAAAATGCTGAGTGTGGTCTACTATTTCAAATAAAGATCAGACAAACTCCATAAACTAAATAGCTTTTCCTTCCCCATAAATTTCATGGATAACGTTTTTTTCTGAAATTATCTTTTATTCATGAAACATTTTAGTTATCACTGGTAAGAAAATGACCAAATAAACATTCAAGTAAAAGTTTAAAGATTCTTTAAGGAATGCATATCACCTGCCACATTTTATACAAGAGTTTTAAAGGGGCAATATTATGTGTTTCTCAGGCATATATGTAAATACTAGACCATAATAAAGTATCTATGTCAGCTTTAGTTGTTATTAAAATGCTGTTTTTATGTTTAAATAGAAAATAAATTTATCTTCTCATCACTTCCTCTTCTAAACGCCTTGAAATTGGCCTCTGTCTCTTTAAGAACCTCCTTATGCTTCTGTCCCACCCATTTCAGCGGATGGGGTGGGGGGGGGTGCTATGATGCAGTTTATTTGGCATCTGAGAATATATTTCCTCAAAGGTATTGTATTTTGAATATGAAAAGAGCTCCACTGAGTGAGAAGTAGTTAGGAGCTCTGCAGACAGTTTCAGTTTCATCAGTTGTTTGCCGAGAGCCTGCAGGAGTCATGGGCGGGGTGTGTGGGGTGGGGAGGTGTGCTCTGTGATGAGGAAGCTCAGCTTGGAGACACAGCCCAGAGGCGGAGCTGGTCCCAAAAGGCGTKTCTAGTCCCAACCTGTCGTTTTTGCTCCCCTACCTGCTGCCTCAGGACACTAMAGGATTTCTCAAACACGCATGAATGAGTCAAAGTAAGACTTTGGGCATGTTTTTGATGAGAGAATAACATTATAACATGATATAAAGCTCAAAATAGTTGATTTTACATGACATAGCCCCTTTAAACCAAGAATATTTTATAATGAGACGGAACAGAGTTGTAGTCGTTTTGATCAAACCATATAAATGAAGTTATGAACAATCTTGTGATGTGTTAGCACACTCTGTGTTGGAGGATTACTCTCAGCAACCACCACACCAAGTTTAGCTTAAAGTCTAAAGCTGACAGAGTTAATCGTTATTGTGTGGGCTAATGTTGATCAGCTGTGGCTACCATATTAAATTGGAGTGGCTCCAAAATCAGATGCAGATCAAGTGATTCTATTGAGTTTCATAAACTCTATCCACTAGTTTAAGACATCAATGCATTTATTTATTAAGAAGTTTTTATTTGTGTTAATGCAAGAGAGAAATGTTCAAGAAATTTAACCTGCAGCAGACCCTGATGATCCAGTTCTACACATCGAATCCATCCTCATATCCATAAACATCTGGTGGTTCGTCCACCTTCCAAGAACGAGCAACACTCCAGTGCATTATCAGAAATGCAGAAACCATTTATGGATGTAATCTGCCAACCCTTCAAGAAATCAGCAGGGTGATGATTCGCACTGGCAAAATCTCAACTGACCCCTCACATCTAGGTCATTACCTCCTCCAGACACTCGCTATTGGTACAAGACTCAGAGGACCATCAAAACCAGAACATGCAAGCTAACAGCTTCTTCTCTAGAACTGTGCCGATCCTCAACCACAGCAGACACCTCACATAGTTATAACTTAAACCACAACTAATCTCAACTGTAAAAATCCCACAAAACTGTGGGAAAAAGTACATATTAGATTTTACATTTAGGTTTATTTTGGTAAATTTACATTACAAGAAAAAGAAAACAAAATGAAACACTAATATAAATCAATAATTTACCAAAAACAGAGTAGGCTTCACCGAAGTGAAACATAAATCTGTGGATCTGTGTTTGATTACTCTGGCTGGCTTTCTCAAGGACCAGGATGTGACACAAAAATCTGAATTTTGGAACTGAAAGTGAAAGTAGTCAAGCTGAATTTTTAATAGGCCAAAACACAGTTTCAAACCATTAAATTCAGTTTCAATTTAGTAAAATTCATTTTCAAACCAATGCATTCAATTTCAAATTATGCACATTCAGATTCAATCTGAGCAATTCAAATTCACAATATTGATTGTGTCGATTCACAATATGCTGGCACAAGATTTATCCCATAGAAATGTCATCAGCTG